CACACACACACACACACAGAAAGGGGTAGTGCAGTAGTGGGTACTCCCTACAGCAAGGGCTAACGGGAGAGTTCCATGAAAAGGAGAAGGCAAGAAGAGAGACAGAGACACAGAGAGAGGGAGAGAGAGATTATTTGAGTGCTGGCCAAAGCGGAAAGGCGAAGAGGGAGGGAGGTCATCATCACCTCGGCTTGAACATGGCCACCTTTATGACAGTGCAGGGGTGAGAGAGAGACAGAGAGAGCATTTCAGTCCCGGCAAACGCGGCCAAGCAAAGCTTGGAAGGAGGAAAGACGGAGGGATGGAGGTGCTGGCATAAGAGAGAGAGAGAGAGAGCAGATTCGAGTGCCGGCAAACGTGGAAAAGCCAAGGTGGAAGGAAGAAAGGAGGGAGGGAGGTGATAATCACCTCGGCTCGAACATGGCCAGGTTTATGGCGGTGCTGGCTTAGAGAGAGAGGGAGAGAGAGGGCGGGCGAGAGAGAGGGCGGGGGAGAGAGAGAGAGAGAGTGCAGATTTCAGTGCCAGCAAACGCAAAAAAAGCAAAAGGTTGGAAGGGGAGGAGAAAGAGAGATGGAGGAAGGGAGGCGATCCTCACCTCGGCTCTAACATGGCCTGGTTTATGGCAGTGCTGGCATATTTGCTCGTACGGGCACTCTTTGGCGATATGCCCCGCTTCACCGCAGTTTCGACACATGGCCTTCTCAGAGCACTGGCTGCGCACATGGCCAGGCTTGCGACAGTTATGACAAGTCTGCTCATATGGGCAGTCTCGGGCAATATGACCTGCAGAAGAGGGGGGGAGGGCGTCAAAAACCCCAAAAACATAAAAATACACCCCATCCATCAATTCTCAAAATTATATGCATACAACATTGTCAAAACACCTCAAAACTTCTCTTTTATTTTTATTTATTTACTATTTTTATTTTTATATATTTGTCATGCTAATCTTCTCTGTATCGTTCCAATTTTAACGGATGTCCTCTTTTAATTTCCTCTTTTAATTTCCTCTTTTTTTTCGCAATTTGATAATTTGATAATTTATATCTAATAACATAGCGATCAAGCACAATACCATTTCTCTCATTCTCCAAATTTCCAGGAATTTCCGTTTCTTTTTCTAATACTCTGGAAAGAATAAAGGGAAAAAAAAAACTAAAAACTGACCGATCAATGTCCACTACCCTGTTCTACGTCTCTCTCTCTCTCTCTCTCTCTCTCTCTCTCTCTCTCTCTCTCTCTCTCTCTCTCTCTCTCTCTCTCTCTCTCTTACACACACACACACACACGTCCTTTTCTCAGGAGTAGGGCTAACTTTGGGCGACATGGTATGCATCCTGGACAGATTGTCTGTCCAGATTCAACCTCCTCCTCATGATGAGCCGGTAGAAGTTCGATGAAACAGTCTGGCACAGCCATGGTCTTTTTCTTTGGAGTTGTGTATAGCGGACATGACAACACACACACACACACACACACACACACACACACACACACACACACACACACACACACACACACACATGATGGCTACCCACAGTACCAATACCGGCCAGGGGGAGCAAGTCAACTATATATTTCTTTTTTTTCTTTTTTCTGTTTTTTTAATCTATTTCTTTTGTTGATAGTCTTTCCATAATGTGGTTTTTGTTGAAAGTTTTTTGCATAATGAGGTTCCTTTTTTTTTTTTTTTTTTTTTTGTTTTTGTGAACCTATCTTTCTCAGTATCATAGTTCTGTTTTTAAGGGAGTATCAAGGTAGGCTGACTGGCTGGCTTTCATAGCATTTCACTGTTTGCAGAACCCTGAGATGATCCTCAAGGTATGGCGACAAGGTGAAACCGGTTTAGGGTCATACGGCGCATGCGGATGGTATTTTTGTCCGCGCAGACTCCGTGGAAATACTTCCTGTATTTCATTTGAAACTCCATAGTCGCGTTCGGGTTTGAACCCTGGTTTACCATTCATTGTCTCTTTCTCCTCGCATCCTGTCAGGGTCTAGCCGATGGTCTGCCTCATTCCACTTCCCATCCGGTTTATGGTCATCTTTCCCTCTTTCTCCTTTCTTCGCCTCCCCCCTGTACTCGTCTCTCGTCCTCCCCACATTTCCCTTCCACCCTTACGTTACCTGTGGATTCATTGTATCAGGTCTTGAAATCAGGTCTCACGAATATCATTGATGTCAACACGAACAACACTGGGTACTTTAGCTAGTCTCCCATCCCGCTGCCCGTTCGTAACTTTCACTAGAATTCTAAGGGGAACCAGTAGCCGGACTGGTACTGGTTCCCCTTAGAATTCTAGGGGTAATTTTCACTAGAATTCTGAGGGGAACCAGTCCGGTTATGTCTTCCGTTTTTCCCGATCCTGGTATCTTCCATGCTTGGTGGTGATCAGTAACCGGACTGGTTCCCCTTCGAATTTTAGTGTTTTACTCATCGGCTTCCACCTTCGAATTTTAGTGTTTTACTCATCGGCTTCCTCTTCGAACTCTTTAGCTGTGTCTTGTGAAAAAAAAAAAAAAAAAAAACAGAGTTCAAACTCCACTGGAAGCAGGTGAGTAAAAAGTACCGAGCTGCTGTTTTCAACCGTGATCTTTTTCAAAGCAGATGACTACAACAGTGGAGTTTGAAGTCAGGTCGGCGGTACTTCCTGCATTACCTAGGGCCCGTATATGATGAGGGCAAGGCCGCATCGAGCCTCACTACATTGCTCTGGGCGGTAGAGAACGGTGGGCCGAGAGGCATAGGGCATACATAATAGGGCGTGTGGCAAGCCTCCTGATGAGACCGGGGCGCACCCAGTTGAAACATGTAGGGCAAAGCGTGCGCGATATCAGCAGTGTACACGCATGTATGAAACGAAGCTATTCTGTTTGCGTGTGAAGAGCAATTTCGGACCCCTTCTTTTCTTTTTCACTTTTTTTCCCACCCCAGTACAGCGGGACGCGGGAAAACGTGCTGCGGTGGGGTAAAGTACCAATCTTGGGGCTTAACTTTCACCCCAGTCAACCTTGTTTAAGCACCAATCTTGGGGCTTAACATCCACCCCCAGTCCGCTTAGCCGGTGGGGTAAAGTACCAATCTTGGGGCTTAACTTTCACCCCAGTCAGCCTTGGTTAAGCACCAATCTTGGGGCTTAACATCAACCCCCA